TGGGAGAATCTACTTACTCTCACAGCAAAGGAAGGTCAGAGCCTCAGGCTTAGGGAGGTGCCTCTACTTATTATTTCCTTTCTAACACAAAATGGGGAAGGCTTTTTTCTCAAGAGCCCATTCTAGCACTTTCTCTGGGAGTGGCGAGAAAGGCGAGGTGCTAAGACAAGAAAATCAAGAAGACTCCAGAGACCTATAGTTATTTCTGGAGAACCAGACCCAAAGCCCAGGCTGACAGGGGTGATTTGGAAGGCAGGGACCTGTCTGCTTTCTTTGGGAAAAATCCCTCCACACACTCAGCAGCATCTGACACACCAGACTGTGGGCTGTGCCACCCCTCTGCATAGATGACACAAGCTCCCTTCGCATGGCACATGATTCTGGGGGTGAGGGGAATGCTCTGTGCCACACGGATGCACGCGCGCGCGCACACACACACACACACACACGGTATCTGATGACTGCAAGTCCACGGTGAGAATGCTATTCCTTCAGCCTATGTCCTCGATTCTTGTTAAACTGCTAAGGACATTGGAGTTTCAGGTTCTGGGCATTTTGGAAGGGCAGATTTTGATGGGAAAGAAAAGAAGGCCAAGAAAACCTAAGGACCTTGAGGGAGGGGTCCCAGAGTGGACTTTTTAGAAGCCCCACCAAGAAGTAGGGTTGAGGAAAGATTGTGTAAAAGAGAGAAAATAAACTGTGCTTTATAGATATGTGAGGGGTCTGCTAGCTCTGAGTTAGGGGTTCCCTTGAAGTTGGAAGCATTATCTTATTTTTTTTAACATTAATCCAGAGAAGAGGGGAGATATGTATATATATAGCTGATGCACTTTGTACAACAGAAACTAACACAGCACTGTAAAGCAACTGTAGTCCCATAAAAAGAACCCAGTACATTATAAGGGCTTCCACAGGGCTTCCTGGGTAGCTTAGCTGGTAAAGAATCTGCCTGCAACACAGGTTCGATCCCTGGGTCAGGAAGATCCCCTGGAGAAGGGACAGGCTCCCCACTCCAGTATTCTTGGGCTTCCCCGGTGGCTCAGATGGTAAAGAATCCACCTGCAATGCAGGAGATCTGGGTTCAATCCCTGGGTGGGAAAGATCCTCTGGAGGAGGGCATGGCAGGCAGCCCACTCCAGTATTCTTGCCTGGAGAATTCCATGGGCAGAAGAGCCTGGTGGGCTACAGTCCATGGGGTTCGCAAAGAGTCTGACATGACTGGGCGACTAAGCACAGCACAGGAGTTATCTTATAACTTAGGATGGAGATACCTGTCCATGGATGGGGGCCATCCATGAGCTAGGGATGTGGGTGCAGTTTTGCGAATTGATCTTATGGGGAGAGTACATAGCCACCACCAGAATCATGAAGTCTTGGGAAAATGGACGGGAAGAGTGGCAACGGAACCTGAGCCTCAGCAGCCTCACAAGTTCAGGGTGGGTGGGGCTTCCCCCAGCTCCTGGGTATACGGGGGCAGGTCCGAGAGCTCTGGGACTTTGGCTTTGAAGGGCCCTTCTGCCATCACATGAAGTCTTTATGACTCCTTTGGCCCTTAAAAAACCCAATGTTTCTCTGACCATAAAGATAGAAACTTAGAAAATGGTAATGAAAAGAAAAATCTGTCTTGATTGTATTAATTAATTAACCACTGTAAACATTCTGAGGTATTCTCTTTTTTGTCCTTTTAAGAGAGAGTTGAGATCATAGTATGTCTATGAATAGAGCCCTTTCACTTAACATGACCTCATAATCATCTTGCTTGTCACTAAAAAGTCTTTATGAGCATCACTTTCAATGGTTGCACAATCTTCCATTATGCGGCTGTATTACAGCCTACTTATACATTCTTCTATCATTGGGCACTTGCACTGTTGTTAGCTTTTCACTTTAATAAATAATGCAGTGAGAGGCATCTTTGGGCAAGAAGCTGTGGTCGCATTTTAGAGGATTTCTTCATGACAGATTCCTAGAAGTCTCTTCTGATTTTTGAAGATATAGTATTGTGTGTTAAGACATTGCCAAGACCCATCTGTAAAGTGTGGACATTGAAAAGGACGTGGGGCCAGGCAGCAATGCTCACTGGTTTCTGGCACACACACACATGCCGCTAGGGTGCTGTGGGCATCATGGAGACCTAAGAAATTAGAAGGCCCAACCTTGATCCTTGATGAACCTGCTGTCTCTTGTAGGACCACAACATGCTTAAATAGCCCAAAGGAAGAGATGCCTGTATCTCAGGATCTTGGGAGACCCATGCATGCATTTTTCTGGAAAGGGAGTCAATAGCTTTCATCAGTATCTTTTCATCTACAAAGCTTCAAAGAATTACCCATGAGTTGATTGCTTCCGGTATGTGGAGGGGAGTGGATTATTTTTCTCAATTTATTTTTTCTTTTACTATTTTATCTTATAGTTCTTAGAGTAGAAAAATCCGGTAAACTTCTTTTTCATGTGTCATTAATATGACCGGTAGCTGAGATGGCCATCGGGAATCCTGGTTTTGCAGACCATGAGGTAGGGTGTGGGAGCGGCCACAGCTTGTACCCAACAGGTGTGAGGCAGATTTTGGCAACATTTTGTCACCTGTACCTGCGGTGGCCTACTCATCTGTTTACATAGAAATCTGCTCCCGCCAGCAGGAGTCCAGTGCTGATAGGGTCACATGATCAGAACACGATGTCACACAAGTGCACAGGACTTTTGGTAACACAGCCCAGTGTTTCTTTATCCCTCTGATGGAGCCTCAGTCTTCACCTGGTTGCTCAGAGTTCAAGAAGCTTCTTACTGCTCATCCACAGTCATCAGGAAAGCCAGCACAACTCTGCCAGTGTAGAGGAGGCCAGGAGATGGGGTTAGTGTGTGGGCTCCAGGCCTTTCAGTCGGGCCAGAATTTGATGTACACTCGGAAAGTGACAGCCACCGATTGTATTTGTTTTCTCCAGTCTGTGCTGGGCACTTCCATCGGTCTGCTTGCTCTTCCAATGGGAAAATGAGAGCCCCACGTGCCCATAGCCTTGCCCAGGCATCTCCACCAGATAGACATTCACAGTCGTAGGTCTTCCACAGGACCCTCTTAGCTCAGAAGGGGGGCAGTGTTCATGGATTTTGTCAAGTCAGGTTCCTATAGTCAAGACCGCCATCTCCCTTGTGGCCTGTCCCTCGTCTGTGGCTGGAGTCCTCCATGGGGTGGGGGGTGGGGCTATGTGGAGAACATGACTGCACAGCAGAGACCTCATAGGAGGCAAGGTGCCTTATCTCAGAAGCTCCCCAATCTGGCTTGCTAATAAATCTGTATAATTTTTTAAATTATTACTTTATTTTTTTTAATTCCCAGATGACTGTTTCTCCAGGTTCAGCTGAGTTTTTCTTTCCTGACCCTTGACTTTATCTTGGAGTAAACCCTCTTCTCCCTGTCACTCTCCTAGCCTTCGATCCTTTGTTTTCTCTTGACCCAGAACAGCTTAGTTTCCCAAAGGGCGTCCATCTCCCTGGAACTTACGTACCCAGTATAGTCATGGTGCATGCACGCTAAGTCACTGTAAGCATAAGTCTTGTTTGGTCTCAACTCCATCGCCAGAGGCGCCAACACCCCCCGTCCACCCCCAACCAGATAAGATGAGGGCTGAGTCACTGCCGTGTCTCAGATATAAGGAATATCCGCTCTTCTCACAAGGAACTGGAAAATATTAAACAAACACATCTGTGACTGCTGCCAGCCCTAACCTGTAATGCAAAATAAAAAAGAAAATACACAAAAGATAATCCTTTGTTGGTGGTTGTAGGGGAGACAGGTAAAAGCCTAGCCTTCTGAAGTATGCGATTAAGAAATTCTTCCTCATACTTAACCAGACTCACATTGGCCATGATTTCAGCTTTATTCCAGTTCTGTCCAGATAAAAATACTATTCTCTTTGCTACACATATTTTTAATAAAAATTATATTTTACAAATAAAGATATGTAAAACATTTCACATGTAAGATAACTTTTGACAAAATATATTTTATATGTAAAGCCTGTATTGTTTACTTTAATAGAACATTTTATATTTAAATATTTTAATTTTACAAATAAAACTATATATGAAATGTTACAGGTTAATATAAATAAAATATTAAGTGAAACACCTGATATTGGCATTTAAAAATATTTGTAAAATATAGGCTAGTTAAATGTATGAAAATAAATCTTAATATTTGAATCACTGTGATAGTTGAATACTAAAGTAATTCGACTTGAATGTTTAAAGTAATACTGAAATATATAGAACATGTTATTTTTGCACAAAAGGTGTAATAAGATGTTTTAAAATTGTAATAAGAGTAGCTAGTCATAGAGTGAGGTCAACCCCAGCGCTCTCTGACAACCTAGAGGGGTGGGAGGTGGGAGAGGCCATATGTATACCTATTGCTGATTCATGTTGATGTTTGGCAGAAAGAAACACAACTGTTGTAAAGCAACTATCCTCCAATTAAAAATAATAAAAATTTAAAAAGATAAAATTTTTAAAAAGAATAATAATGGCTCAGCTGGTAAAGAATCTGCCTGCAACGCAGGAGACCCCAGCTGGATTCCTGGGTCGGGAAGATCCCCTGGAGAAGGGACAGGCTCCCCATTCCAGTTTTCTTGGGCTTCCCCTGGTGGCCCAGATGCTAAAGAATCCACCTGCAATGCGGGAGACCTGGGCTCGATCCCTGGGTCAGGAAGATTCCCCTGGAGGAGGGCATGGCAACCCACTCCAGTATATCTGTCTGGAGAATTGCGTGGACAGAGGAGCCTGGCGGGCTACAGTCCATGGGGTAGCAAAGAGACACGCCTGAGCGATTAAGTGCACACACACACACACACACACACACACACACACACACAGTAGAAACTGCCAAAAAAAAAAGAGTAGTTGCATTCGCTTCCTGGTTCATAAACGGGAACCTGGGGGCCACAGCGCCCCTGTCTGCCTCTCGGCGCCAGCGCCCTGATGTACTATTTGTCCTCCATCCGCAGGCATCGGCAAGAACGTCATCTGCGACCGCGCGGCCACGCCGCTGGACGCCTTCCGCATGATGTCGGCCGCCCACTACTACCCGAAGCTCATGAGCGTCATGGGCAACGTGCTGCGCTTCCTGCCGGCCTTCGTGCGCATGAAGCAGCTCATCGAGGAGGGCTACGTGGGCGAGCTGCTGGTGTGCGAGGTGCAGGTGCATGGCGGCAGCCTGCTGGGCAAGAAGTACAACTGGAGCTGCGACGACCTGATGGGCGGCGGCGGGCTGCACTCGGTGGGCACCTACATCATCGACCTGCTGACCTTCCTCACCGGCCAGAAGGCCGTCAAGGTCCACGGGCTGCTCAAGACCTTCGTGAAGCAGACCGACCACATCAAGGGCATCCGCCAGATCACCAGCGACGACTTCTGCACCTTCCAGATGGTGCTGGAGGGTGGGGTGTGCTGCACTGTCACCCTCAACTTCAACGTGCCCGGCGAGTTCAAGCAGGACGTGACCGTGGTGGGCTCGGCCGGGCGCCTCCTGGCCGTGGGCACGGACCTGTACGGCCAGCGCAACAGCGCCCCGGAGCAGGAGCTGCTGGTGCGGGACGCCACGCCGGTCAGCAACTCCCTGCTCCCCGAGAAGGCTTTCAGCGACATCCCGTCGCCCTACCTGCGCGGCACCATCAAGATGATGCAGGCCGTGCGCCAGGCCTTCCAGGACCAGGACGATCGGCGCACGTGGGACGGCCGGCCGCTCACCATGGCCGCCACCTTCGACGACTGCCTCTACGCCCTGTGCGTGGTGGACACCATCAAGCGGTCCAGCCAGACGGGCGAGTGGCAGAACATCGCGGTGATGACGGAGGAGCCCGAGCTCAGCCCCGCCTACCTGATCAGCGAGGCCATGCGGCGCAGCAGGGTGTCTCTGTACTGTTAGCCCGGACTCGGGGGGCCGGGGCGGGGGGGACCCGGACTGGGGACCCGGCGTGACGCAGGCCGCCACCGGAGGGTGGGGGTGGGGGGAAGGGGGAGGTGGTCTCCAGGAGTCTGGGGGCCGGGACGTGGAAAGGGGCAACTCCACCTACTCCACCTCCTCTTGGCCTCCTTTGCAAGCCAAAGGCCCCTGCGCCATCAGGGCCCCTGAATCCAACAGGCGAGCTCAGCGGGCATTAAGGCGCATGGTTAGGTGGCCACGCCAGCCCCTTGGTCTGGGGAGAGATGGGTATCGGTGGCTAAAGAGAAAGTTCAGATTCCAGGAAGCCACTTACAGGGTCTGTGGGGGATAAAGTACTTGGTAGCAAAGTATGCAGCTTTCTTGAAGGCTGGGCCCTGGAAGCTGGAGGGAGGAGGTGTCTTCCTAATTGACTTATTGCCCTTTAACTGGCCTGAGGCGAGATCAAGGAGTGCCAGGAAGGGCCAGCAGAGAATCGTGTTCCCTGGAGCCAAAAGGTGAGGGCAAGGGCACCAAAAATAGACAAGGCGGAGAAGAAAATTTCCCTTTGGACCTGTCAGGATTAAAAGCCCACAAGGACCCACCTTGTAACTGTTTCCGGTGCAGTGTTGACATGGTCCTTTCACAGCACCGAGGAGACAGCAGGACTGAGGTGTGGGTCTGACCACAGGCTCCTGGGTTTTTGTCCAGGCCCGGGGGCAGCCTTGAGCTCCAGGCTCGCAGGGGCAAGTCCCCAGCAGAAGGGAAAGTGAGCCAGGCCTGCACCCGTCTCTCCTGGCAAGCTGGGGAAGGACTCCCAGGAGAGTCCCCAGCTTTGCGGATTTTAAAAGGGAAGCCTTCAGGTTCACGCAGATATAATCCTCTTCCATTTGGGGTAGAAAAATGTCAAGGCTCTTTTTCTTAGTTTTGACCTTTGCTCTCGTGCATCAAAAAAGTGAAAAACTGTGACTAGGTATTAAAACAAAAGGACAACAAGGAACATTATTTTAGAACCCCCTGAAGTGTATAGTTTGCATAGGCTTGAGAAAGCTAATGTAGGGAAAAACATCTTCTCCCTCCCCTGGTCTCCTCTCCCTCTTATCTTAACGCCCTCTGCTTACCGAGCTTTTATTGGAGATGGTAAACTGCAGGCTTGGAGCAGGCAGTGCCAGAGGGAACAACCAGAGACAGACAGACACACACATGTTTATAAATGCTCTCTACCACCATTGTCACTAAAATCCCTCTTAGGAATTCAGACCTGGTCTTGAAAGAAAGCTCAAGTCAAATACATTTTGAAAATGAGGACTTATCCTATTACTTCCTTTTCTTAATTCTTCTCCACACATAGGATATTTGTTGAGGTTGGCTGTTGAGGTGGTTACTTGCAAGTCTACAGAGTATGTTCACCGAAACCCAGCTGCTGTCGTCAGCAGACAAGTAACATTTGGAGTCTTTTCAAATGGGCCGCAGTGGGACTGGAAGGGAGTTTAAGGGCTGAGAGTGGACCCCAGGCTCTGAGCAGGCAAAGTCTCAAAATGCACTAACTGTCTGATCAGTTGCTCCTCCATCCTCATACACTCTGCATCCCAGGCTGACCCTGGGTGCAATGACGCCATGTCCAAACACCCCAGGCATATTGGTATTTTCTAGCACAGAGGAGTAGGAATCATCTTCCTAGGAAGAATTTCCCTGCTTCCTGAGCTTTCCTGCCATGTGGGAAGGTTAGCCGGCTACAACTCTCCATCATATGATTGGTTCCTGCTCAGTTGACAGAATCAGCATGCCAGCTTTTGTAGCTAGCAGCTCAAAACTAGAGGTTTGGTAGCATGGAAGTCTTTCAGTGAGAGTTTGAGTGGAAGGCCATGCCATGGACCTTTGGGGTTCAGATTCTCCTAAATTCCTCTCTGGATTTATAGCTTTTGTAGAAACTGAGTGGAAAGATTTTTTTTTTTCCTAGTTGGCCCAAAGGGTTGTGATTGAGGAAGAAAAGAAAGGAAACTAGTGACCCTATGGGTCTTGTTTTTCTAAGTCATTTATAATCTTAAGTGGGGCTGTTCCTGAGGGTTCAATTTTGTTTCTGTACTTTAAATACTTGGAAGTTCTTTCCCCCCCAAAGATCTCTGAACTCTGTGCTGAATACTTAGTGTCTAAAACAAAAATTATCATTTGAGGCTGGGGTATATGGAAGAATATATATTCTTAAAAAGAAGCATGAAAAATATTTTAGTAGGTGTACTCAAATTTTATCTACTGAAATGCATGTGATAGGTAGATGCAGGAACAGGTGGAAGAAAAGGCCTAGATGGTTCATTTTGTTAATAGAAATGTTACAGTAAATGGCTTTGTTAGTGCTTCTTTGGCCCCAGTCCTGTCACTTGTGAAGACGTTATTAGGAGCCACAATACAAAGTTGAAATCTCCAGCTCTCAACAGCATTCTCTAGGACTTTGTCCCAGCCTAGCACCCTAGTAGTACCCTCAAGGGACTGGGAACCCTTGGCTGGATTGGAGCTTCGATGAAGCTTCTGGAGTCATCCAGCCCCTCTCTCTCTCTGCCTTGTTGAATGTGTTTCAAGGGTCCAGCGTAATACAGGCTCCATTTCAGGGTCATCATAGTTAGTCCCCACTTGCCTGGTTTATCCCCATCATTCTTTTGGGGGGGTCTCTGATAACTGGATGTAGGGCTCTTGCCCTTGGTGGCCTCAACAGATGTTCCAGATTCTGAGAGAGGGTGTAAGTGGTGCTCACCTGGTGCCCACAAGTGTTCGGGAATGCTCTGTGCTTATTTGGAAGGTTCAGGTTCTCTGAGTTTTCTTCTGGAGGGTTGGTGACCCCATCAGCTCCCCCTGTGACTCCTCCTCACCCCCCTGGGAGAGGTGTGGCAGGGACCACAGGGCCCCCTCAGCCCACCTTGGGCCCCAAGGGCAGTCTTGGCCGACTCCAGCAGAAGCGGAAGTTCTCCCAGGCCCTTTTTCCCTCTGCAGAGAGCCATCTCACTCCTCTCTGTGCCCACATTTCCTGATCATCTGCTGTGTTTAGGGTATTTTAAGTGTGGTGGTTTAGTTGCTCAGTCATATCTAACTTTTGCAACCCCGTAGACTGTAGCCCACCAGGCTCCTCTGTCCATGGGATTTTCCAAGCAAGAATACTGGAGTGGGTTGCCATTCTCTCCTCCAGGGGATCTTCCTGGCCCAGGGATTGAACCGGGGTCACCTGCATTGCAGGTGGATTCTTTGCCAACTGAGCCAAGGACATTCTCTTACTTAATCCATAAAACCACCCTATAGTATTGGGTATCGTTAGTCCCATTTTACACATGAGAAAATTGAGGCTGAGAGGATGAGTCACTTGCCCAGGGTCACAAAACTATGAAGTAAAGGGGGAGTCACCTGAATCCAAAAACCTTCCTTCTCCTCCAAACCTCATGGCCTCCCACGAAGGAAGGTGTGCGCCTCTGCCGTTCTTTGCCAGGCAGGAGAGCGCTCCTTGTTGAACCCTGTCGGGGTCTGCGGGGCCACAGTGATTCGAGTCCCCTGTGCCCTGCGTGGGGCTCCCCGCTGCGGCTGACAACACCTCCCTGTGGAGCCGGGTATCACAGTTTCCTTGTAGAGCTGCAAATAGAAGAGTTGATTTTTCTTCCTTTTCCAAACTGGAAATATCACTCAGCTTCTTTTAAAATCAACTTCCTAAGTTGATTCTGATGGCAGGCGATGCAGCCAACCGCAGAGCTGGGGATTTTTAAGACGTTGTTGGCTCATTATTATGGGGTTGTGCTCTTGCTGGTCCTAATAACATAGGAAAATGTCTCTTCTCAGGGAGTGGGGCGTTGACTGTGCATCTGACTCGGATGTTAGCTGTGCATGGCATTTGTACCTTTAGACTCTCTTAATTCTTAATCTTGTCTCATAGCCGCAGCTGTTGAAATGGACCTGTGGTCAAAGATGTGGTTTCTAATTGCATTATTAGTCCCATTTTATACATGAGAAAATTGAGGCTGAGAGGATGAGTCACTTGCCCAGGGTCACAAAACTATGAAGTAAAGGGGGAGTCACCTGAATCCAAAAACCTTCCTTCTCCTCCAAACCTCATGGCCTCCCATGAAGGAAGGTGTGCGCCTCTGCCGTTCTTTGCCAGGCAGGAGAGCGCTCCTTGTTGAACCCTGTCTGGGTCTGCGGGGCCACAGTGATTCGAGTCCCCTGTGCCCTGCATGGGGCTCCCTGCTGCGGCTGACAACACCTCCCCGTGGAGCCGGGTATCACAGTTTCCTTGTAGAGCTGCAAATAGAAGAGTCAATTTTTCTTCCTTTTCCAAACTGGAAATATCACTCAGCTTCTTTTAAAATCAACTTCCTAAGTTGATTCTGATGGCAGGCGATGCAGCCAACCGCAGAGCTGGGGATTTTTAAGACGTTGTTGGCTCATTATTATGGGGTTGTGCTCTTGCTGGTCCTAATAACATAGGAAAATGTCTCTTCTCAGGGAGTGGGGCGTTGACTGTGCATCTGACTCGGATGTTAGCTGTGCATGGCATTTGTACCTTTAGACTCTCTTAATTCTTAATCTTGTCTCATAGCCGCAGCTGTTGAAATGGACCTGTGGTCAAAGATGTGGTTTCTAATTGCATTGCTTTTATCCTAGTGGGTATAGCAGAATGGGGGAAATTCAGCATTGGTAAGGGTACCCTGGGGAGAAAGTAACTCCAGCTGCGACTGAAGGGAATTCAGAGTCAATGTATTCAGTAGTTCCTCTTACAACCCCAAGAGGTTGTTGCTGTCGATGTTCAGTTGCTGAGTCGTGTCCAACTCTTTGCAACCTCATGGACTGCAGCACATGAGGCATCCCTGTGCTTAGCTGTCTCCCTGACTTGGCTCAAACTCATGTCTGTTGAGTCGATGATGCCATCCAATCATTTTGCCCTCTGTCACCCCATTCTCCTGCCCTCAATCTTTCCCAGCATCAGGGTCTTTTCCAATGAGTCAGGTCTTCACATCAGGGGCCATAGTGTT